TTGATTAACACTGGTATATTTCTGTTTGGTTTTTGCTGTTGGGTAAATGACTATACTACATATTACTATAAACCAATTTTTCTATTTTACTAGTAATTTAAATTTTTTTTTTTGTTTTTTTTTTAAAAAACTTATTATTAGTTCAATTTGTTCTTTATATGAACCAAACTTTTTTTAAAAATTTGCAATTTTGATTAGTCAATTAATGATTTTTTCAGATTGAATTTGAATCAAAATTTACTCAATTTGAATAATAACCAAATTTATAAAAGAGAATCTAAATTCAATTCAGATAGTTCTAAAAAAATAGAATTGAAGCTCTACTTTAGGTTTATCCAACTTCATCATTAAACATTTTACATATAAACTTTGATGAGTTAACTTATTTGATTTATAAGTAACAGCACTTATTAGAGCATGTCCTATGACTAATAATATTAGTAAACTAACTATATATGAAGTAAAATTTTGTAAAGAGATTTTTTGTTAAGATACTCAGAGTAGCTTCATCAGTGAAAATTATAAGACATGACACTTTTTTTAAAAAAAATCATTTATTGCTCTTTTGCTTTCTATGAAATGAGCCAACACGTATACAATGTACATATACGTATGTATTATCTGAACATGCTATTCCATATAACAACGTACCACACCTTACAGTAATATCTGGGCCATTTCTACTGTGCATTCCTGAAACAACCCGTTCCACAATTTTTGGCTGAAAATTGAAATCATATGATTATATAAAAAAGGTTTTTAATTTAATTTAAATTCACAGTAAAATACTATAGCACATATAAATAATAAGTAGCATTACTTAAAATAGCCTACTATACTGTAATGTAAAACTTTAGGATGTTAAACTGCAGAGTTGTTATATTGCAGATCTTATTAAAATATAGAATGAGAAAATACTTGCCTTAGGTACCATTTAAATTCAGAATTACGTAATTAAAGCATGTGCTCTAATCATTTTAAAGCTGATAGATTCTCTAGGGGTTATTATTATATATCCCGTGAACATTTCTAATGATATTTTTATGATTATGTAATTCTGTGAAAATATCAAAATTTTAATCAAAAATATTACAGGCTTAATGTACCCCTTAAACCTCTATGGTTAAAGTATTTAAAGCCAAGCAATTAACAAAAAATGATCTGAGTGGTTAATTCTTAAAAATGCTTAATAAATTATCAGTATGAAAAACGCCTTATGATATGAGAAAAATAAATCTTCAACATGAGAAACCCCTAAAACCAGAAAACAAAAAAAAGATGAGAAATTAACTAAAAAGTTATTATTAAAAGAATTGATGATCATTTGAAATATCTTCGTAGAGAAAAAAAAAGGGCACCAGGTGACGAAGACAAATCTCTTTATGATGATGAAATTGGTTGTTACTATCTTTGGAAACAAGAAGACGAACCTTTAATCTTTAAAGAAATATTTTTATATTTCAAAAGAGAAAGAATATATTGAAGAAATTAAAAGGTATTGTCTTCTATGTTATATATGTTTTTAGGTTATCAATTATTATATTTTTTTATTTTTAATTTTTTTATTCTTATCGATAGGTTACATGTAGATAAAAAACAGCTTAGAGATGAAATCAGTATTTAAAAGGTTATAATTAATGAATTAGAAGACCAGATTGAACAGGTAAAAGCGAAAAGAGTTGAGAAATTGGAGAGTTGAATATTAGGATTGATACTAAAAAATCAAATCGACATATAGAAAAGCAGGATAAAAAAGAAACAGAACTCCAATATAAAGGACATATATAACCAAAAATATGACGACCTTGAAAGAGAAAACAACAAATTAAAGAAAAAAATGAAAACTTTAGAGATCAATCTTGAACGCTTGCAAAGAATAAATGGTCAGAGTATATCAAATTTTAATACATAATATGAAAATCTTTGTCTGATTATTAAATTATTATTGGTTAAACATAATTATTTCTTTGTATCATACAATAATAATAATAATATTTAGGCATTATAACAACACGTGAAGACGTGCCACTTTATTTTTATAAAGACGAAAACAATGATGATACAATACCCATATTTGAAAAAGCAGAATCTGAAGACATGCCGCTTTATTTTTATGAAGACGAAACCAATGATAATACGACACCCGTATTTGAAAGAGCAGATTCTGAAGACATGCCACTTTATTTTTATGAAGATGAAGACAATGATGAAAGAGCAGAATCTGAAGACATTTATTTTTATGAAGACAAAAACAATGATGATACAACACCTGTATTTGAAAGAGCAGAATCTGAAGACATTTATTTTTATGAAGATGGAAACAATTATGATACAACACCCGCATTTGAAAGAGCAAAATCTGAAGACATGCCACTTTTTTTTATGAAGACAAAAACAAAGCTATTTTACTTTTATAAAAAGTGTTCCATTGCGTATTATCTATATTTTATAGACTTTACGAGTTCATTGAAGAACATTTCGGCATATTACTATGCGCCAAAACGTGCATAAAAGGTGTTACTTACTTAGACCACTTTTCTTGACTTGGAAGACCTTTCTAAGGAATGATAATGAATCTTTTTATCTGTCTGTTGTAAATGAAATAATTGTTGTTAACGCACTTTGATGTTTTTACCTTTTTTAAATAAAATAATAATAAATGTCAAATTATTTGGTGATTCAGAATTAAGGTGATTTCGAATTGAATTAGTGATATATATATTTTGAGCTTATTTATATAATAACTTTTAGGACGAAATGAGAATCACCCTATTATAAATAATATAAATATCAAGTTGAAGTTTATTTCTTTAAATACACTTAGTAATTCTTTCTTAATCCAATTTTAAGTGGAACGGTGATAAAATTTCTATCTTTGTACTAAAACTTATTAAAACTTCATAGACGAAAATAAAATAAATGAAGTCAATTTTAACTTCCTGTTAATTTAATTTTCATTGTAACTCAACCAAAATTCCGGGCAGAATCCTGGTCTGATAGACGCAAAATTATTCGGTTTGTTATCACATGTTGATGTTCTTAGAACATCTATTTACATTATTTTTTATATATATACGGGTTCGTTTTACAAACCCATTTCCACAATTCACATGATTTGGAATCGTGAATTACAATTATCATCAATGCGACAATTCCACACTTGTAGAATTGCTAAAATTATTAACGATCAAGAGATGTTAAATAGTTCATGGGACTGGACTAGTGGAGACTAGCTCAGTACTGGTCCAAAACCAGTCTAGCTCTCACATAATATGAATTGAGTGTCATTTTTGACACATTAATAAATCGATATAATGTGAATCAATAATTTAAAAATCAATGACAGATACTCTAATACTAATTGGTGAATTAAATTAAAATTAGTTAAACGCCAACTTTTCGGTTGTAATACTGTAAAAAGTATTATATAGGGATGTTAAGTGGTTTGCAGAAACATAAGTTCAAAACTGTTTGATGAGTTTCTTAATTTAGCAGTCCGGTCTTTGTTCAAACTTCAGTTCAAAACTTAAGTTAGAAAAGACTCAAGTGCTGAACAGTTTATTGTTTCTTCAATTTGGAACTTGGTTTTTTGATCTATATTAGTACTAATATGCTTTAAAAGCTAAACTATATCAGTATATTTGTATTATATCGAAATATAATACATATGTACATACGCACGTGTGTATGTAAAGAGCCAATAAAAACAAAGTTTGGGACTTAAGCTCAAACTCAATTGCAACTTTCACATGATATTTTTTGAACTCTATTCGAACTGTTTCTGAAACTTGAACTTTTATGGAACAGGACCGAACAGGACCGAACCGAACTTTTAACATCCCTAGTCGAAATCGATAAGCAAAAAGCGTTTTCTTATTATTTGAAGCTGGTAAATGGGAATTCGGAAAACCGCACTTTGTTACTATTATGGAATTGGCGTGGAGGAGAACGAAGATAAATTTTATGAATGGTTTAGGAAGTAAGTTAGTTTTAATTTTTTTATTATAATAATTTGTAATTTCTTTATTTGAAATTGAGATCTCATACAATTTTAATTATTAGGGAGTGAGTATAAAATGCATTCATCAATTTATACCAGCGATTTAAGTTCATAAAATTTATTTATTCTTTTTTTTTTTAGCCCGTAAGTATAAAGAACATTTAATAAATAATTTTACTACATAAATACTTCCTTATTTACCATTATGTTTAAATTCATTTCACTCGCATTAATTCAGCCCGTGAGTATAAGGAACATTTATTAATCAACGGAATTAAAAGCAACAAAACAAGTTCGCAAATCAAGAAAATAAATACTTATTTACCATTACGTTTAAAATCATTTAATCATTTTATTTAGTCAGTGAGTATAGAACATTATTAATTAATGAAATTAAAAACAGCAAAACAAGTTCACAAAACAAGTTCATAAATACTTATTTACCATTCATTACGTTTAAATTCATTTCATTCGCATTAATCATTTTATTTAGTTAATGAGTATAGAACATTTATTAATTAATGAAATTAAAAACAGCAAAACAAGTTCACAAATCAAGATCATAAATACTTATTTACCATTACGTTTAAATTCATTTAATTCGCACTAATTTAGTGGTGAGTATAAAGAAAATTTATTAATCAACGGAATTAAAAAACAGCAAAACAAGTTCACAAAATAAGATCATAAATACTTATTTGCCATTACGTTTAAATTCATTTCGTTCGCATTAATAATTTTATTCAGTGAGTGAGTATAAAGAACATTTATTAATCAATGGAATTAAAAGCAGCAAAACATGTTCACATAACAAGATCATAAATACTTATTTACCATTATGCTTAAACTCATTTCATTCGCATTAATTTAGTTTGTGAGTATAAAAAACACTTATTAATCAATGGAATTAAAAACATGTTCACAAATCAAGATCATAAATACTTATTTACCATTACGTTTAAAATCATTTCATTCGCATTAATCATTTTATTCAGTGAGTGAGTATAAAGAACATTTATTAATCAATGGAATTAAAAACAGCAAAACAAGTTCATAAATACTTACTATTAATTAATTTAGACGGTAAGTGTAAAATTATTTATTTATTTACATTCGACATAAAGTTTAAAATTGCAAATGCGAAATAAAACATTAAATATTTATTATATAGACATTCTAAATATGGAAAATGTGCAAATTGTAATGAAGATAACACGCAACCAGCATGGTGTCTCTGACATAACAACAAGGTGGACAAGTGGAAATAAAGATATTGATGATTGCATGAAAGAACTCCAACTTAGAGTCAGGCAATATGAAGATGCGATTGAATGGATTCCATTTAATAGATTATCTGATATTAAAGAAATCGGTAAAGGTGGATTTGGTTCCGTATACAAAGCAACCTGGTTGGATGGCATACGAAAAGTTGATGTTAGGCGAGGCATGGAAAGATTTCTTAATGGAAAATATAAGAGATCACGCGAACCATCCAGTGTCGTTGCGCTCAAGACTTTGGCTAGTTCTAAGGAAAACAATGATTTTTTAAAAGAAGTAAGTTAATTTATTGCTATGATAATTTT